TTCTCTTTATTACAACATAAAAATGCTCTATTATATGACAGATGGAACTGTTTATCTGCTCCCTCCCAAAAAGCTAAAATAATAAAACAATTTATAAAGACAGAAACATACAAGATAGAAAGGATACCACAGTACACAGATGTCAAGAATCTTTTGGAAGATGAAAAAAAAAACTAACAAAAGATAATGATGAAAAGTAATGCAATTCATTCCATGAACTCTGGCTCAGCCCAGGAGTTTTGAGGAGCCAGGCTCCTTGAAACACAAATGAAAACTCTTACGGTAGACAATAAGATCAAGAGAAACTCAACATGAATCTGTTAAAACCTTTATCCCTGCTAGTTGTGGTGGCATACACCTGTGTAATCCCAGCACACTGGGAGGCTGAGGCAGGAACACCAGAAGAGTCCAAGCCTAGCCTGGGCAACTTAGCAAACTCAGTAGCATGCTGTCTCAAAATAAATACATAAATAAATAAATTCAATAAATAAATAAAAGGTAGGGAAATATAGCTCAGTGTGAAGCCCCTGGGTTCTATTCTCAAAACCAAAAAAATTTACAAAATAAAAACAAACTTAAAACTGGGGCATTTTTCTCTGGAGAAAATGAATTGCTAGGACTGAAGACCTACAGATAGCATTTGGGAATCACCAATAAACTAGTACAACCTTACCGAAGATCAAGATTAATAACAAATATCAAGTCTTTAACATGACTCAACAATTTTATCTTTATACATTTATCTTTATAAAAGTGAACATATAGTTAAATAAATGTTCACTAAAATATTATAATATCAAAGGAATGCAATGGAATTAATATGAGAAAATGGAAATAGTCTTTGTAAATAGGGAGAGGTGGAGGGGTTGAAGGGAGGGCAGGGGAATGGGGGAAAAAAGATATATTATGTAAAACGATGAATGTCATTATACCTATGTATACCTAAAATGTACCAATAATATTTTAAAAATTTAAAAAATGCTTCTACAAGTTGAAAAAGAATCAAAGCAGTGGAAAGTCATAAAGAAACAGCAGTTAAACTATAGCACAGCTGTACATTAAAAAGGAAAACGATGACATAGTAAGATGTACATATTATATGAAAAGGAAGTGACAAAGTAACAGACCCAATATACAAGACTAGGTCTTTTAACTCTTTTCCTGTAATAAAAACAAGATTACTTGCACAGTCAATAAAAATAGTTAAAATATTACATAGTTGTTGAAAAAGAACTAATCATAAAAAAATTTTAGAGAACTGTTACATCTCAAAAAATATATAAACTAGCCAGGGATTTAGCTCAATAGTTCCGCCGTCTGCCTTGCAAGCACAAGGTCCCGAGTTCAATCCCCAGTACCAAAAAACCCGAAGACGGGCCTGGGGATTTAGCTCAGTGGTTCCACAGCCTGCCTTGCAAGCGCAAGGTCCCAAGTTCAATCCCTGGTACCAAAAAAAAAAAGAACAAAAACAACAACAACAAAAATATATAAAAACTATTCAGAAATTAGTTAACTACCTACCTTCCTCCCTTTTGTGGTATAGGACATTGAATCCAGAGCCTTTGCACTGAGCTACATCTCCAGGCTTTTTAAAACTTTTCAGATAGGATCTCGCTATATTGTATAAGCTGGGCTTGAATACATGATCCTCCTGCCATGGCCTCCCAGAATGCTGGGTTTAGAGGTGTACACCACCATGCCCAGCGACTTTTTTAAAAACCCATCCAGTTTCATCTTATATTGAAATTTAAATCAAATATCCTAATGTAAGTCAAATATCTCAGTGGAAAAATACAGTAAAATAACTATAAGATATAACTGAACCAAAGATGAAAGGCTTCATAATCAATTCTACATAGCGTTATGAGTGTATTTTTGAAAAACATCTTCAATCTGACAAATCAATAATAAAAGTCATTTGTAAATGTTAAGTATGAAAGCAAAATAGTGAAAATAGGAGAAAAAACTCAATCAATAATTAGAGTAAAATTATAAGCAAATATTACAAAGTATTCAAAAATTAAAATCTGGGTAAAGGCAAGACAAATGGGCCAGTAGACTAGATAGAATAGGGACCATGCCACCATCATGTAGACTCACTCATGTATATACAGGAATTAAGTATGACAGAAATGGTATTTCATAACAGTAGCAAGGAAGACTGAGTCATTAGTTACATTTACAAGTTCTGCTTGAATAACTTCCAAGTTTATATAAAGTAATTTTTCTAAAAAAAGTTAAACATAGTTGAGGTGGTTTCTTTAGAGTATAGAGGTAATTAGAATATACAATGAATGCTTAAATTTTTTTTAAAAGTTACAATAAAAGACATTGACATTAATTCCCCTCTAAACACTTCACCTTGCTTCAAACACATTTATTCCACCGTTCTTGCCACTTTCTGAAGCAGTTCTAGAAGTCTTCTTTTGTGAGTGTCTTACAATTGCCCTGGTGAGGCTGCCTTTATGTCCTAAATCTATTCAAGATATTTACCTTTCATGGTCATTTTGACTTAGGAGAAGCACTAGATTTGGTAAGGTAGATGAGGACATGCCATATGTTTTTACATGCCTGTTTTTTCACTGGATGGCACTTGGCAAGCACATTTTCCATATTTTTTTATCATACCTCATAAAGACACTCATAATAGAGGGCTTTCAGAACTGCTTCACAAAGTGGCAAGAATAATGGGATATGTGTGTTTAAAGCAAGGGGGAGTGTTTTGAAGAGAATTAATGGCAATGTGTCTCCTATTATAATAGTTTTTTAAATTTTAAACATTCACCATATTTTTCAATCACATCTTTATATGATAAAAAATTCAGTTGTGCTGAACAAAAGTCCCTAGAACACAATTTTAAGACAGTGATCACCTCTGAAGAGGTCCAAAAAGAAAGGAAGAAACAGGGCTTCAGTTTGTGCTGCAGTCTTACTTTTTTTTTTTTTTTTGGTACCAGGGATCGAACTTGGGTCCTTGCACTTGCGCAGCAGGTGGTGAAATTGCTGAGCTAAATCTTCAGCCCAAGTCTTACATTTCTTTAAGCAAAAATAGGAAACAAATGTATTTTTGACCAAGTGCACAGACTCTGGAGGGCAGATTAACTAGGTTCTAAACAATTCCCTAGCTCATTGTGACCTTGGGCAAGGTAGGTTATTTTCTTATGCCTCAGTTCCATGTCTATAAAATGAGCAATCCATCTTACTATAAGGATTAAATGAGTTGATTATGTGAAGTGCTTAGAATAGTATATCTGATACACAGTAAATGTTATTGTTACCATCATCAGCCTCACCATCCATGAATATTAACTATGAAATCTGGTTAGAATACACTGGGGAAAGAGGAGGTTGTGGAAGGGTGGATGGTATTTGATCTATTTTCTACACTTACATTTCAAACATAAATTGTTTTTGAAACCAGTGATAAATGACCAGAATCTAAAGTGAGAAAGTAGAATAATATGTTTCAATCTTCTCTTCAGTTTTCAAAAACATGAGACAATACAGGCTTTTGAGTTTGATATTTATTTTTAACAGGAAAAATATGCTAATGGTGATGACATCGTTAGAAGATACGCCCATGTCCAATATCTGCAACAGAAGCTCGATAGTAGTTAAAGAAACCATACCAAAAGACTAAAAGACAAAAACTGTATAACATTACTTACCCTTAATTCTGCAGACAACAAAACAAATAACAACATATTTAAGACTGACATTTCACCACAAGACCAAAAACTGACAAGTTAACTATTAAATATGTCTTTTTAGAAAAGTCTACCTTTTCTTTACCATGTAGAAATGGGCAAACGTTTTAAGGATAGAAGATAGTCCCATTAACTGAATGTGTCTATGTGAGCAAAGGAGGAGCACACTGAAAAGGGACAGTACTAATTTAAATTAAGAGCTGAGAAACTGGAGTGAGAGTAATCAAGTCGCTCTCTCCCAGGTAGTAATAACAAGCCAGTCAAAGCACCATTTGGAGCATAATTAGAGACTGTTGAGCCAAGAACTAAGTAATAAGAAACAAAAGCACCTTAATATATACAGTACCATAACATATCTACAAATTCACAGTGAGCTGTCTATAAATAAAGGGACTCAGACATTTTAAAAATTGTCTTACTATTAGAATAAGAAATTGGTACAGCAGTAAACGATTTAAAGAACTAGTCAACTGAAGGATTCTTTTAAAACCAAATCTAGCTCATCTACCCACTAATAATGGCTATTCTTCTCAAAGAAAATATAATATTACTCCTCTTTATTATCTCCTGCACCCCTAGACTTATCATCAATATATCAATTCCTGCTTAAAGCAGCAATGACTTTCTACCTGGTATGTATATGAGATAGGTGGTATAGTGGGTGTGAATACGTTAATTATTAGAACCAAGGATGGAACATAGGAATAATATGGGGTTTTGGGAGACAGGGGCTTGATATATTGCTCAGGCTAGTCTGTAACTTATGGACTCAAGTAATCCTTCTGCCTCAGCCTCCCAAACAGCTGAGACTATAGGCATGCATCATCATGCCCGGCTTTCAAGGAAATAATCTGAAGACTTAAATTATATAGCTAAAAAATTGTATGTATTCAGAAAAGGAATTGAATAAATCAAATCATAATTTATCATATCACTTCTCGGCCTTTTGGCTAAGAACAAGTGTAGTATAATTTATCATAGTTAATACCAGGCTTCATACCAACTGCTATTTTCCCATTATTTTGGGGCTAGAGGATAAATATTTAAACTGACAATTTACTACCATTGCATGGAATTTCACATGAATGCTTTTCAAACACAACCAATTCTGCTAATTCCAAATTTCAAAGTTTACTTAAGTTCAAGTAGAAGAAAACTCACAAATGCAAGCTTACCTGAGCCACAACCTAAAAAGGTCTATGAACCCAAAAATACAAGATATGCAGTTACATTCACATGTTAAAATTCCTATCAAAAAATAAATAAGCACTAAAGAAGGAAAAGGTTACGCACTTCCAATTTATGCTCTTTCTCTGCAAGGGCTTCCTTTTGACAACGAAGAAAATCTGCTAACATTCGAGTGAGTTGCTTCCTATCATCTATTTCTGCTGCCAATCTGCCATTGTAATCTGCCAGCAACATACAAGCATCCTCTACCATTTTAGAAAGCCGTTCTCCAGATTCTTTATCTAAGAAAAGCACAGGATAATAAAATTAGTATACCACAAAAACACTGATATCCTCTTTCCACATCCCACCCAGGATCCAAGAGTTCTGGATCACATTTTCTTTACTCACCTGTTATTTTATCTAGTAGGGACACTTCTTGGACTTCAACAGGCAAAGAAGCTATCCTCTGATGAACCGCTGCATCACCTGAAGCTGCATTTTCTAGATCTTGTAATGCTCTAACAAGATCTAAAGTCTAAAAAGTTACACGATTTCAGAACCAAAATAAAGCTTAAACAAATATAAGACTTGAATTTCTTCACATTTCTAATTTTTATGAGTTGTTAGCTCAAAGTTTCCAATATAAACTGCTTAAGACAATTCAGTTCTTTTACACATTAAGAAGCTATACTTTTGTTAGCTACTGAAAATGTAAATGACACAAGGCCCTTGGACCTTGAAAAGGTCACACTCTAGTGGTAGAAACAGTATAAAAATACTTACCTAGTTATTAAAGTGAGATAAGTGACTGATTTATATGGCAGATATACCAATGGTAAAAGGGAAGGTAGGCTACAACTTCAACCTAGAGAATACAAGTTTTATGTTTGATATATCGTTATATTATCATAGCAAGCATTTAAAAAATTTTATTAAACTGGATTTTGGAAAGAGAGACACAAGTCATCTTCTAAAACACAGAAGAGTCACTCAGATTCTAGTCCTAAATACTATAATCCATATGAGAAATGTAGTTTTGAAATGTTCAAATAAAATATATCTTCAACTATCCTATGGTGTGTTAATAAGACTATTAAGTTTTGTGTATCTAATGATTATATATTGCTTAGCCAATATACTAATTATTACAGTACTTTAGTTGTACTGTTTTCATACAACTATAATTAGGATGAGAAAGTAACATTTCATTTCACTATTTTCATATTAGCTATAATTAGGAAAAGGGGAATTCTTTGCTGCCAATTTCACAAGTCATAATACAAATTATGAAAAAAAACCCAAGTATTTTCTTTTCTAGCCTCCATCCTCATCCCTTTTTTCTGTTTTTGCTTTCTAAGACCAGATTCAGGGACACTAGGAAATTACATACTTTAAAAATATAAAATACTACTAATTCTGAGTATATATCAAGATGACATCTCAGTGGGTATGGTGGCATATGCTTATAGTCTCAGCTACTCAGGAAGCTGAGGCAGGGTCACTGAACCCAGGAATTCAAGGCCAGCCGGAGCAACATTCTGACACTGTTATCTCTTTTTTAAAAAGATGTATTTGTTCTAAGATATATTCTCTCTACAATGAAAGAGTGTTTCAGAGCAATGACACATACCAAGAAGCTATTTTCTCATGGCCCCTCAACTAATTAATCAGAAAATTCTAAGTTTCTAGATTTCTAAGAAGAAATATGGCTTTATGATCTTAATAGTGCCTTTACGCTAAAACTACAAGATATGGTTAAAAAATATATATGGTAAATGTTTAATTAAAAAAAAAACAGTAAAAGACACATGCCCAAGAACAATGGGATAAGTATGTGCAAAGGAAGGGGGAGTATTCTGAATATTTTGAGGGAAATTAATGGTAATGTCTCCTACTGTAATAAATTTTAAAAATTTTTCCATATTCATATTTTTTGATCACCCAACACTGCTTACAGCTATTTCTTTCAAAAACATAATGGTGTGTCTCCATCCACCTTATTCACCAGGTCTGGAACTTTGTGACTTCTGGCTCTTCCCCAAAGTCAAAACAACCATGAAAAGTAAATGTTGTATTCAGGACATTGATGCAGCCATAATAGCACAGCTAAAGACACTCACAAAAGAGGACTTCCCAAATTGCTTCAGAAAGTGGTATGTTTCGGAGAAGATGGGAATGTCTGAAGGGGGATTAATGGCAATGTGTCTTTTAGTATATATGTTGCCAAAGTGAGCACACAATGTGTTTTTTTGTTTTGGTACCGGGGATCAAACTCGGGTCCTTGCGCTTGCACAGCAGGCGGCGAAACCACTGAGCTAAATCCCCAGCCCCACATAATGTGTTTTTTTAATGTAATACTTTTTACAATTTGAGCAATCATCATACGTTAACCGCCTCATACAACTTGGATCTCACCATACATTCACCTCCCTTCCTACATGAGTTAATTCTAAATTCTCACTGCTAGATCAAGGATAAGAAACCAAAGATATCTGAAACACTAGTCTAAGATTTCCTACTACAGGGGAGTTCAACTATATCCCACAAAGAGAAATTTTTGCTATTCTAAAATGACCATAAAGCTGAACCACTGAGAATTAAGCAGCATAACTGATCTGAAATGATCACTATAAAACAAAGAGCAACATCATTTTATACAAGTACTAGAAAAGTCAGATGGTTAATTAAATACTCAACAAAAGGCCGGGGATTTAGCTCAGTGGTTCCGGCGCCTGCCTCACAAGCTCAAGGTCCAGAGTTCAATCCCCAGTACCAAAAAAAAAAAAGAAAGAAAGAAAGAAAGAAATACTCAAGAAAAATAAATAAATAAATGAGAAATACTCAAGAACTACTGTGGTTACTCTTTCACCAGTGCAAGTAGGAGATACTGTATCTAGATCTCAGGTAAAACACTGTTCTCAAAATGATTCTGTCATGAGCTACTATCAAATAGGGTCAGACATACATGTTAATGTTTGGTTATTCCAAAAGTCATGTTCTTACTACTTTTCTACTTCAGCTCTAGTCCAAGGTGGCCAGTGAGCTTCAGCATTCCTCATCCGTCATTGGGCTAACAGGCCACTCGGCCCAAGTCCTAGCTGAGAGCCTTGGTCTAATTCTTCTGCCTCTCTAGGTTTAAGAGTAATATAAAGTCACAATTTTAGGTAGTAAATCACTACCTTTCTTTCACCAGGGAAAGAGCCCCTTCCAGCTTCTGGTTACATGCAATAACTTTGGGTGCAGTGCCCTACTTGCCATGGAGCACTGTGGTATGTCTTTACCTGTAGGTTTTTTTGGGGAACAGTCTCGCTATGCAGTTCAGGCAGGCCTTGAACTCACTATGTAGCCCAGGCTGGCCTTGAACTTGGAGCAATCCTCATGCTTCATCCTCCTGGGTACCGGGACTACAAGCCACCACACCCAGCATAAGATATCAACTCTTGGCTGCGCATGTCTGCTTCTAGACCAGAACTTAACAGGAAACAGGCTCTGGCCCATACAATGTGTTACACTTCTGTACTATTCTGGCCCTTAACGATATTTACCTTGTTTTAAGAGAATGGCTATGTCTTCATTTTCTCCTTTGAAATTTTATCTGTCCCTCCTATATGTTTCAAACATAAAAGAAGGAAACTTAAAGACCCAACGCCCACTTAATTAAAAGTTCAAAATGTCTTTCACATAATGATTAAGGGATACCATACTATACCGACCTGAAGGATTACAGTATTAAGATAATGATTCTAGTTTATTGATTCTTGCATAGAACTACACAGTGTTATACAGAACTACATGAATATAAACTTGTCACTCTAATGCTCATTTTTTACATTTGAAAGCTAGAATACTTAAAAAAGTAAGAATATTTTAGTGCACTTATGTCACACAATATATGTTTTCCAGATGTTTTATTTTAAAAATAGTGGCTAAGATACCATACATAATACTTAGCATTCAGAAATCCTTTCTATGCAAAATTATTTCTATGAAAAACATGCAATATACAATATACTCTATTAACATAACACTCTTTTAACCAGGAAATAAGACATATTCTTGCAGGTTCTTTATTGTGCCCAGAAACAGCAAAATTAATAAAGCTCAATGCACAAAGTGAAACAGAACTCACTTTAATTAGCAAAAATCTTTTACCTGTGGTGGTTCACTTGGAGATCCCAGAGAGGAACAATTTTCATTTTCATCTGCTTTTATCTGTTCATAAGTTCGCTTCCTAGGCTTCTTATCACCATCTGAATTGAAAGAACATTTAAGTCTTAATGAAAGAAAATGTTTTAATGAAGAGATCACGGTTAGAGATGAAGATAATTCTTACATAGAGCTTGCTTAAGTTGGTCTAATACATCATTTTCATAAACAGATCTTTCTTCCCAAATAGATAACACTCTTCCAAGGTGCTTCTTACAACTTTCATCAGTTTCACTAATGAAAAAAGAAAAATATTAGTAATAAAATTGTACAGTGCTAATGAAAAGGTAATGGTGACTTTATATACAGTTGTTCTTTCATTCTCTGGAAAAACCAATCCAGATGTTTACTGGGCATCACTATATGGCCAGCAGGTTAAGGATGATGTAATCAGGACATACTCCCTGTTTTCCTTAAAAACCTTTTAAACATATTGAACAACAAAATTACCAAAAAATGTAAGTTTTAGGATCTAGGGGCTTCTAAAAACGTTCCTAACCCAATGAAGGCTGAACATGAGACTAAGATTTCTAACAAATGACTTTTTAATTTACTCAACAAATATTTATTGAACAATGCACTATCTCTAATATAGTGATCAAATGGAGTTTTATAGCAGCTATTGTTTATAAATGTTACAAAAGAGAACAAGGTGCTAACGATAGAAAACAGAAAAAGATCTATCCCAGTTTAAGAGAGATCAGGAAAAGTATTTGAGAAAGTGATATCCAATCAAACATCTGAAGATTAGATAGAGGGAAATGAGAAACATTATTTTAAACTATTTCCTACCTTCTTTATCACTGCTACTGTAAACTAAGCCATTAGAATGTCTTGACTGGATTTTGGTAACATTCTCATCAATCTCCCAGTTGATACTCTTTCACTCAACAAAACAGCCAACTCTTTATCACATTATTCTCAATCCTCCAAGAGCTACCAATCTTATCAAGAATGAAATAAAAGGCCTTGCCTTGGGCCAGAAGGCATACATCCTCTGATTCCTGGCAACATCTCAGTCCAGACTCCCTAAAACTTTCTCCCAAACAAATCTTGCCTCACACATAGTTGTCTCATTGTTTCTACCAAGTATTCTCTTTGCCTAGAATTCTTTCCTCCTAGAGTCAAATGACATTGCCTCCCTTCCTTTAGTCTGTTTAAATGTCACCTCCCAAAAAAAGCTATTCTTTATCTTATCATATAACCGAGCATCCCCATACCCTCTAATTCTTTCCCCACTTTGTTTCTTTAGAATATGTCATCTGACAATATAATATACAATTTCCTGTCTAGTTATTATCCTTTACATCCCCTGAAATATAAGCTGCACCAGAACAGAACTTTGTCTTACTCACTACTACATTCTCTGGCACATAGTATGGGATCAATAAATACTTTATTGAATTCTAAAAGAGGCAACATACATAAAAGGCTTAAGGTAGAAAGAATAAGAAAAGGTTCTGTTAGCATAAACTGCAGACTACAGACAGTGTTCAGAAGCAATTTGAGACAGGAGTCCAGAGATAGGAACTGCCACAAAGGAGCCATTAAGTCTTGCTCCACACTTCACAAAAGCAAGGGAGTGTTATGATTGGCTCTGCAACCCTATATAAAGTTTCCCGAAGTGATTAAATAATAGAGACCATGGCAATTACACAGAAAGACATTTCCTTAACTAAAAGAGGAAGGAAAGTAACTAAGGGAATGTGTGTTATGTGGAATACTGACAATGAATGAGAAGTGAGAGTTGAAGAGGACACCTAATTTCTTGCATAAGAATCTGGATAGAGGTGCAGAGAAGCAGCATGTTTAGGAGGAAGCACAGAAGTACTAAGTTCAGTATCAGACAAAGCGAGATATTTAAGATGCATACAAGTAGAGGTAACTGGACATACGGGTTTGTGATTAAACAAAAAAATCTGGATAGAAAATGAAACTTTAAATCATTAGAGTCTGCACAATAACTAAATATATACAGTGTACAAAAACACCAAGTTGGCAAGTGGCGAATACGGTCCCTAAAAAAAGCAAAGGACTAAGACACTGATATTTAAAGAGATAGTAGAAGATAATATCTATATTGAAGGGTAAATAATAATTAGAAAGCAAAATGCAACAATATTTGACACTACTTCTTTTCAAATGTGATTAAAACTGTAGGACATGTGGTAAGTAAATCTTCATCCTTCTATAAATCAACACAGATCACCATTTACCACTAAGTTCTATAATTTAGACTGATTTAATAGTTCACTCCAGTGCTTGTCTAGTAATTTATCATATACTTGTATATAATGTTCAGAAAAAAGTATTTAAAGGAGTGATATGCTAAAGTATACTTTCACCCTCTGAATTATCTGGAGCAAAATTTTTCAACAAGCTTATAATTACCTTAAGTATTCTTTATTTCCAGAGTGTTTTAAAATGTTAAGACATATACCCACATACCAGAAAACCTTAAAATTATAAGTGATATGAGGAAAACAGCACAGTACTAAATATATTCAGAAATATTAGTTAACAGCATTTGTATTTTTATATGCACACAAAATTTCAATGTAATACTTTTCATTCATTCTCAATAAAATTCGTTCCAACATAACAGGTACTCAGCTCTTAAAGGAAAGCTGTAATTCAAGTACTCCAAATGACAATATTAGCAAATCTCCTCAGAAAGTACTTAGCATTCACAAAGGCTAGTTAGAAATAAGTCTTTTCAAATGAAAGTTTCAAAAAACACCGTCTTTTTTTATTGTAATGCTTTAAGGTAATTTTAGCAAAAGGAAATATAGCACACTGAAAACAGGTTTACCTAAGATACCAAACAATTATCATACCTTGAAACATGCTTAAAAGCCTCCACTATAACAGGTGCAAAGTCTTTTGTAAACTCTGGCCCCTTCCTTTTGCTGTTTTGAATGACATCATTGGCTAGGTAGAGAAAAGTAAGCTTTCTGTTGGGCTTGGCTGAAAAACAAAAAATAAATTTTTAAAAATCTACTTAAAATATCCTCATTTAACTTAGACAAACTTTCTCAAAACCTAAATTAAGCACTTTGAGAACTATTTAAACCCACTAATACATCTTTATGTGTCTTGTTCAAACCCAGCTTCTCAATCTACTACCAAACTTACCAAGTCTCTGCTGCTAACTTCACCAGGATGACCACTCTATAGCTTCTAGAGATCAACCATGTAGGAGAGAAAACAGAGAGAGAAGAACCTAAGAGGCAGAGATAGGGGTAAACTATAGCTCTTCCCATCTCCTTGCAGTAGTGCCCCAACTAATATGTTTGATTCCTGGTTTTATCATCATTCCCAAACTAAATGGTTTTTATATACTGAAATCTTTATGTATGTATAAAATGCTTTATCCTCTTTTAAATTTTATTAAAGCCATTATAAGCTTTATAAAATACAGTCATTTGAAATAAGACAGTGATTGGTCGTATTAAGATGGCACCCAAAATCCTAAATTAAATTTAGGATTGATAAACCAGGTATGGTGGCACATGCCTCTAATCCCAGCACTTGGGAGGTTGAGGCAGGAGGACTGCCATGAGTTTGAGGCCAGCCTGGGCTACACAGTAAGTTCAAGGCCAGTTTGAACTACAAAGCAAGACCTTGTCTCAATAGATGATAGATGATAGATGGGTGGATGGATGGATAGATGGACAGATTGAGCGACAGACAGACCGACAGACAGAATGAATGAATTTACTGTTGCTTTAATACTCATTTTGATTCAAAATCATCATTAAGTTACCATGAAAAGACTGAGTATGGATTGGGTATAGGGTTCAAATACCAACCTATTCTTTTCTCTCCCCCCTCCTTGTGGAATCCAGGCTAAAATATAAGAAATCCCTAGCATTTATGTCCTTAGTCAAATTTCCAAGGAAAAAATTTGAACACTTCCATTTATAATTATATGAACTTCTACACTAAGCAAACAATTAGTGGAAATAACACAATGTCAGAAAAAAAAAAATCACAAAAATTATTTTTCACATGAATTTTAATTAATTTTTTTTTTTTTGTTACCAGGGATCGAACTTGGGTCCTTGCGCTTGCGCAGCAGGCAAAAAAGAACTGATAATTAACGTTCACTTTTTTTCTTTTTTTTGTGCCGGGGATCAAACTCGGGACCTTGCACTTGCGAGGCAGGCACCAGAACCACTGAACTAAATCCCCAGGCCTTTTAATTAATTTTTAAAATAAGAGCCACAAACTGTTGTTAAAGTTTAGACACAAAGTTAACAAAAGGGCACTCAAACCATTTTATAATTCTTCAAAGAAACACTACTGTTAGTAAAAGAAAATGATTCTAAACAATGGGTCTGGCCTAGTCAATTCCTATGTTTCTGTTGTTCACAAGGTTTCTTCCCAAGACACCTATTTTCCAAGCTTTCTATTCAATTTAAATGACATTTATTTGACCATTTCTGTTCAATCAGAAGTTTGTAAGTGCCATACAAACTGGCAGATAGGTCCCATCACTAAAATGCCACTTCTCTTTTTTTCCTTTGTTTCTTTTCTCCATAATACAGCATGCCAATATGAAACCATTACATTATATTCCACTGTAGATGGACAGATGCTGCTATATTTGTGTCGATAAAGTATAAGGCAAATAAGTACCACCAAATATTTACATTTGAACCACCTTATTCTTATATCCCACTTCCATAAACAAAATCTTACACTTCTATATGCAATAAGCATACCCTCCTGGGGCCCTTGTATAAGAACAGGTACATACATACAAAATCTGTCTGGTTGGGCCAAGGATTTAGCTCAGTGGCACAACACCTGCCTTGCAAGCGCAAGGTCCCGTGTTTGATCCCCAATACCAAAAAAAAGAAAAAAAAAATGAAATCAGTCCGTGCTGTTAGGTAAAGAATATGAAACAAACTTGGCCAGTGCAAGACTTAAAGAATGTCATCATCTAACTTCAATAACTCATAATTGGTGTGTAATCTGTTTATATTTAGAAAGTGGCAGGAGCATTATTAATTTTCTTCAATTGCACAGACCATTTGCCTAATCACCTATGCATTTATGAAGATGACAATGGGGATAAATACAGTAAACAGCTAAAACCTTACTGTGTTATCTATAAACATAAGAACTATCTTTCGTAGTTCACGGGCAACTGAGGATTTGTTCATAAAATCTTTTCCTAAACCAATGTCTTCAAGAGTTCTACCTAAATTCTGTTGCAGCCTATTCAGCGTTTCTGTTTTAATATTTAGATCTTTAATCCACTGTGATTTTAATTTAGTACATGGTGAGAGATATAGGTCTAGTTTTAATCTTTGGCAAGTTGAAACCCAATTTCTCAAGCACCATTTATTAAAGAGGCTATCTTTTCTCCAGTAAGGGTGTTTGGCTCCTTTTTCAAAGATGAAGTGGCTGAGTGTGTCTGGAGTTGTTTCTGCATCTTCTAATCTGTTCCACTGGTCCTCAGGTCT